GAAGCCCGTGGAACGCTTCGCGAGGCAGCATGTTATCGTAACATCTTTACAGCTTTTCTCGGAAAAGCAGTAATTTACAGCGCGTCGTCCATCAGGACATTACGGTACAATGACCGCGGTCGCGCTGCTCGCGGCGTATCGGTTAGCCGTGGGCCAGCGGGAAGGAAAAAACGGGAATAAAAGGAAACAGGGACATTATTTTACGTAATTGCAGAAGCGCGAAATTCCGGGAAGGACCGCGCGCGGCCGCCGGTCGGCCATTGTTACGCGCGCGCTCGCGCGTCCCCCTTCCTAGCCGGCGGCGGCGCTCGCCGCCGAAGACACGCGTTCGCTCTTCTTCAAAACGCTTTTTCCCCATCGCGAAACTGCCTGTTCATCCACTAATCTAGTCGCGCCGGGAACAGAGACGGCGGCAAAAAGACGGAGAAACGGAATCAGCGTTACGTGACGGGTTTAATCTCTGTTATTCCCCGCATCGTCTTCCAATTGATCGTTCGGCTGCGTTTCTGCACGCCCCGTCGACGTAGGAAGAACACGATGTTTGCGCTCTGTTCTTCGTCCCTCGTTAGGCCCGTGAAAAATGTGCTTAATAATACGGTTCCGAGAACCGTTCTTTTTGAAAGAGCATGCCGCGACTGGGAAATAACACTGTTGATCCTCGAACGAGTATTATTGAAACCTTGAATTTACTATACCGCGATTTCGTGGATTCTCCGTTTTATATATCATTCAAGATACTCCACTAAATAAGAAGAAATCATATTACAATCAAATTAACGATCAGTCTCGAATACTTCGCTCGGAAGACGCTACGCTACTCAAAGAGGGCTTCTAACTTGCGGACGAAGATTCTTTGAAATGTACGAAACCTTCAACAGATGAAGCTAAGTTATACATTAATTACTTAAATAATAGCAATAATAGGAACTACATGTTAATCTCTCGCTGTCCGAGTAATCGAATCATTTGTTTACGACATAGCTTTCCAAATATGAACGTTTCATCTCGAAATGTCGACGTCCGCAAAGCGTTAAATAGCCCACCTTTCGAAGTAGCCTACCTTCACAAGACAAACGAAATGAAGGAAGCGTCGACCGACTTAATATTCTTTTAACGACGCGCTTGATCCGTAGATCCCTGTATTCGTCGCCCGGCGGCGTTCCCTTAGAGCATTGCTCGGCAGGATGTTTCAGCGCCGGCCTAATGGTATCCGTGAACGACACTAAACTGTTGGACTCCTAATGGTTTCAGATCAAGGAAACGGCGACCCAGCTCGAGTAACGACTCCGAGCGATTATACAGCGGCTGGAACGACCGAATAACCCACGGATGCGGCCGCGAGGGTTGCCGCACCAACGAACGCGGCGACTGCATGGACGAGTGCACCGCCGCGCTGGTCCTCATGTCGCTCTCATGCTCGCCACACAGTCCTCACAATCCCCTGCCACTTCACTGCCAGCACAATTACGGTCAGTATCATGCTGTAAATGGCTTACTAATACCAAGAACCGCGGCCAATTGATCCTAATTTTATTCCTGCGCCGCGCGCCGCGATCGTTCTTTTGTGCGTGCATGCGTGCGTGCGTGCGTGCGTGCGAGCGTGCCTGCGTGCGTGAGTAAATACTTACATGCGCGAGCGAGCGAGTCCGAGACGAGAAACGAATCACGTTTCTACTATACGTTGCGTCACCGACCGATCCAATCACGAGGTTATTGCCCACCGACCGTTTTTCGTGCTCAGAGAATTTTTATCGTCTCCGTGGACGTTTGGGGATGGATTGTAGCGTTTCTCGGGGGTAGTTCGGTGCGTGAGATATTGTAATCGGTTGGCAACGATGCTAGTTAACCGGTTATTCAGGAATCATGCATTTTGTACTGTGTGTAGCTTATTCTTGTAGTAATTGTTCTTCAGATAGTCGAAGCATACAGTCGAAGGAAACGTCTAAAACATTCCTCCAGGTTCTGCATCGTACAAAAGAACAAAACTCGCTACTGATTGGATAATGTCTATAGTAATCGCTGTAGAATCGAAGAAACTCGCGCGAACGGCCAGAATCATCAAACTCGAAACTCATCAGCTTCCACTAAACGCGTCGACAACAACCATTAACACTAGAACTACCGTACCAGTCAAAATGACTGGTTTCAACGTCTTTATTTCGTTATTGATATCTTAAAAGCATCGAATATTCGAAATGATCTTGAAAGTAAATAGTTTCACTTGAGTACTATAATGAACGTCTGAAGGAATTGATAATAATCAATTATTACAATTTCTATATGGATTACATATTAATCGTACTAAATGCTAGGTAGTTCTAGTGTTAAAGAACATCCCACTTACTCTCCTGAACATCCACCCACTTCAACAGTTCAACCCTCTACTCAGAGGAACTCCTTCCGAGAGGACATTCCAAACGTAATAGAAAAATGTCCCAGCACAAAGCGTTCATACCGACTTCCGCTTCACTGAACAGACACCCCGAACGCCTCGCAGAAAGCCAAACAAAACCAGGAACATCGAAAAGGTCCCGCCAAAGCGTGAGTGTTCCCTCGCGCAGGTTGCCAAAGCGAGCAACCCCGAGGAAGCCCCGAGCTTCCAATCCACTATTCGTAATCAAGCTGTGCGTCCATGGCGACGCTCGGCCAGGGGGACACAGGAGAAGGGGGTCACGGTGCGGGTAATCGGGTCGTGCGAGCGGGTCAAATAATTAATTGAAAATTCCTCTCGTTTCTCCGATATAAGGTTCCTGGGGAGGTCGAGGAGGAGGAGGTGGCGGCATGGTGGTCGGCTCGCCGGGCGTGGGCGGCACGTCGAACAGCAGCAGCAGCAGCAGCGGGGCTTCATGGCGTAGCGGCACCCCCAGCCCGCCTCTCAGCGACGAGGGGGCACCGACCACCGGCTCGTTATGGCCGACACCGGCCCATCCATCGCACAATCAGCAGCACTACCCCTACAACGTGTCCGGGTCGTCTAGCAGCACGCCCGGCTCCACCACCACCCTAGACGAGGGCATAGTGCCCGATTACCTCGAGGAGCAGCACCCGCGCAAGAAGAAGGTGAGTCATTACGACTTGACAGCTTGTTCCCGCGGTTTACAGCGTGACAGGCTATCGCCACGGGTATTGGCTATTGTAGGGTGGTTTCTTTAACGCTGGGTTTGCGGATGTCAAATTGACGCATATTGGAATTTAGAAGTATTATTTTGTAAATGTTTACGCCGATTTCGATTGGTCACACTGACGTGTACCCCAATTACCTACTATCGAATCTCCAGTTTCCGCAATCTAAATGAGCATCAATTCTTTTAGGAATAATAGAATGAAGTGTACAATAAATGATCGTGAACCTAGTGTTAAGATTCATTGAAATATCTAATGTTAGAACTGGTGCAATATTGGAGCCTACAGAGTACAAAGGGTTAACACATGACTAACTACTACAGTATTTATAAACGCATTGTTAAACGTAATGTTATTTATTGTCTTATTACGGTGAGATACAGATTTGAAATTGATTTTTCTAGAAACAGGGGCCATTGTCAAAAAAAGACACGAGGGCTTTTTGATTTATAGATGTGTACCACGACATGCATAGGGTTTCATAAACAGATTTTTAAGTCTGTTCCTCTGCTTGGTTGTCCATCGATCGGCCAGCACTACGTTATCTGATAAATTCAAGTGCAACGGATCGGTAGCGGCAACCCGGCCGCGCTGCGCGTGTTTGCAACGTTTAATCCGTTGAACTTGGCCTCCGGGGGAACTATCTTTGTGGCAGATGGTGCAAGGTTGCAATAAATTCTACGGGTGGCTCGTGTGATCTGTTAGGTTTTCAGGTTAAGCAGGATTTCGAATTAGATGCTCGAGGAACTGAAGTTGGTTATAGCTTGTGAATACGAAGGGAATTTGTGAATCTGGAATTTTTTTTTTAATTGAACCTCCGAAAATTATACACTTATGATTTGAAGAAGTTGAGGAAATCAGAATTTAACTAGAATTAAAATCTACACGATCTCAGTGCCTTCTAATAGATCTAAATTATATATTAACTGAATCATGAATCCCACGTCGCTCCAAATATTAACCCTTTGCAGTCAAGAGGCGACTCTCATTCGCCATTTGATCGAACGCAGCAAAATGACAAAATGAAAAATATAAAATATTGAACAAAATATTAACACATTAAACAGAAATAAAATAATTCTGCTCTATAGTTCGTGCAAGATGTCCATTATTTCTTAACTCGCAAATAATATTAACATTCCGTCAGAAACTGAATGTGTCTAACGAAAAATACTGTCGAGTGCAAAGGTTTAACCCTCTGCGAACGCAGCAAATTGAAAAATTCAATGTAAATTATTCAACAAAGTATCAACACACGAAACAAAACTAAAATAATTCTGCAAGGTGTCTAGCTAAGTCGCAAATAATATTAACATTCCGTCAGAAAATGGATGCTTCCAACGAAAAATACTGTCGAGTGCAGAGGTTTGATCATTGTGTTGAAGAGGATTCTAGCAAGAAGAGGTCTCGTGGCCCTAGAAGACCGATCCCCGAGGCCGCGAGTCACATGCGCGCGGCGTGCGAGGCCGGTGGCTCTTACGCAAAACCCCGCCGCCACTTTTATCGGTCCCGGTTCGAGTTAATTAAATCCGAGCCACGGATGCGGAAGGAGCTAAGTTTCGGGGCGGGGAGGGCCGGGGGCAGACAGATAAGTCCCGCCACGCCTTGCAAGCGATTTAATTGTCCGTGCGAGCGCTAGGCCCCGTCCCGCGATAACCTTCGTCGTTCCTAAGAGATCTTACGAGGTTCAACGAGATAAAGCACCGCGGGTTTTCGAGCGGGTTAGATCGTCGGAACGAAATCAGCCTGCTCGACCTTATCGATCGCCCGGCTCCTCGCGTCCGGTTTCGTAAGGACTCATTCGTCACCGTCACGTCGACGCTTGTCGCGACGCGATTTTTTTTAATTTTTTCTTTTTGGAAACCACTGAGATTAGCACGAACGCCATGGGAATCACCGGTGACCTCAAGCGAATCGAATTATTATAATTCATTCGATTAACCCTTTGCGATAATATTTCTCATTATATCCATTATTTTCTGACTAAATATTAACGATATTTTTCGCAACGAACACAATTGATTATCTTCTATAAATTAGGAGACAGAACTGTTTTACTTCGATGTTTTATGTGTTGATACATTACAGAAGGTTTAATATTGAATTGAAAATTTTATGAGTTTGCTGCGTCGAATAATGTGGTGACTGAGAGTCACCTGTCGAGTGCAAAGGGTTAACCCTTAGTACTCCAGGTTGTTTTGAAATCTATCAGCAACTAATTTTTATAATATTCCTAGCGAAAATTAGAAATATAACATTTATTCGATCTTTTGTTTTATTTGTTGGTACAAAATTCGGACGTGTGGGAAATCGAATAATTTTAGGGTAGTTTCTTTAAGGTTCATTGAAATATTTAATATTACGTGAAATATTGGAGCTTACAGAGTTCAAGGGGTTAAACGATGATTATTTGGAAACTTCTCTATATTATAAGTAATACAACTTAATACACTGACATTCAACAATTCAGACCTGTAATAATAACAATATAATTCAATGGCATAATTTACATTATTTTCATTTTCTATATTTGTCTCGGCAAAGTCATTAACACGTTCGCTAGCGTCACACATTTATCACGGACGCAATATTATATTATATAAAGCAATTAAAACTAATTGATATTATTATTAGAAATTATAAGCTACGGCATTGTATTCAGAAACTCAATGACTCGTTTCATTTCAATTAATATTTTATGTAGATTTATTGAATCGAAGGAAATATAATTGAGATCATCACCGAAATAATTATCGTTAATTGCGTATGACAGTTATTTTGTATTATTGTTCAGTTGTTTTCTATGGTTGTTGAATAGATTTACCTGATATTAATCTCAGCGTGATCGTTTTTATGGAATTTCGGCAGTCATAGGTGACTATGATCAATTTTCAGAACTTTTTTTCTTTACTTTCACTTTCAGAGAACTACGAATGTATATTGTACGCATAAATGAAAAATGTTATTGTTTTTGCGAAGAAATATTGGTCTTCAATCGATTACAGTTGAAAGTAGTCTTGTTATCGGTTATACAATCGTGGATTGCCAGGGAGTATGTAGGATTTCATGAATTTATTCACATCGATGTGTGTCTTCTACGTTTATACCGAATTAACTCGAGACTGGTGAATTGTTCGCACGCGGTGGAAAAATTGCATAAGGGGTTAAGGTCGGCGCAGAGTTCGGAAGACGAGCCGGCAAGGGCGGCGACCGTGGAACCGGTACCGGCACGCGATCCGTGGAAACTAGTTTTGAAGGTCGAACGATACGCTAACGTATTTTTCTTATATACTAGATCGCCGGTTGTTTATCGGGAATTTTTCAAAATCGCCGAACCACTGTGTTTACACCGGCAACGCATCGAATCATCGGAGAAGATTGCAGTAACTAAAATTTCAACCTAAAACCGTTTAATCCTCGATCGGAAGGGTTAGACAGTTTCTAGATCCAGTTTTCAAAGAGCATTGGACCAGTTAATTGTAGTCTGCGATGTCTCTTAATTACTTCCTTGCCATTGGCTGTCCATCAGGTTTTATTACCAAGTTAATATATCAGTAAAACCAAAGCGAATTGCCGTAATGTATAAATTAATTCAGATCCTAATAAATGCTTCGTAATTCGCGTAAAAATCAGTACGTTAATAATGTACTAGTAACAGAAAACATTCTGTGCTCTTTCTATGTCTAGATTTAGTATAAACCATACAAATTAACGAGAACAATGTTTCATTTGAACTTAACACAACTCAACGATATTTATGTTTGTTAACCCTTTGAACTCTGTAGGCTCCAATATTGCACATAATATTAAATGTTTTAATGAATCTTGAAGAAACTACCCTAAAATTATTCGATTTTTCACACGTCCAAATTTTAAAGAAAGAAACGTATAGAATTTCTCGTTTTCGCTAGGAATACTATAAAAATTAGTCGCAGTTGCTGATAGATTACAAAACAACCTGGAGTGCTAAGGGTTAGAAATTTTAGGGCTAACCATATTAGAAATTTTTCCTTCGTGTAATCATCATTTAATTGAATTTCATTATTATCGCACGTTCATCTGATCGGATGTCACCGCATTAGACAGCATTATCTATGATATAGAAACGTCAAATAATCATCATTTAATCGAGCGAACTACAGTAAGTAGACTTAGTTGGGGTCACCGGTGACCCCACGTTATTCAACGTGTTAAATCCATATCGATCCGCAGCGTCTTCCACCCGGTTGAAACAAGTGCCGGCGCGCAGATGTTGTCGAACAAGGAACCGGCGAGCAAGTTCTTCCGTATCGCGCGCGAACCGCCTACGTACTTATCTCGGCGGCCGGGGGATTACGCAGCATCTGTTTGCGATGCGTTCCACGGCTATCGCGAATGTTTACTAAACAAGTTTCGCCACGAACATCTCTGTTGTCGTGTCGTGCCGCTGCGACGATAAAGCGCGCGCGCGAGTCACTGGAACTTCGTTTCGAGCGAAAAATAATAACGTTTTTCTCTCGTTTCCTCTTCCCAGGCGGTATTAACCCCTTGCACTGCGATTTATTTCTCAACTATGATCGATACCACTGCTTTGATATTGATAACTATTGAGAAAAAATAATGGAATGATAAGTCGGATGACTCTGAAAGGAATTAATGAGAAAACATGCGTCAATTAACACGTTGAACGCCGCAGGAGTTATAGAGTAAAATATACAACATGGATGAAATATGATATGAAATCATTTGATTGAATTGCATTATTATTATTGCACGTTATTCTAGCTGAATGTCACGAAATTAGCATTATTTATAATATGGAAATGTTTCAAATAATCGTTTCATTGAGTGAAGTAGTAATTCGAATATGATATTAGATCATTCGATTGAAGTGCATTATTATTACTAGCATTATTTATAATATAGAAATGCTTCCGAATAATCGTTTCATTGAACCATAGTAATTGAAACATGATATTAAATCATTTGATTGAATTGCATTATTATTACTAGCATTATTTATAATATAGGAATGTCTGTAAATAGTCGTCGTTTCATTGAGTGTAATTCAAATTGAACAATATCTACGTTTGTTAAATTCTTTCTATCAATGAAACGAAAGAGGACGATAGATACGAGTAAATTGTATACAGTTCAATGATCTAATATAAAATATAGTATAATTGGCATTTATCATGTACCAATTATTTCCAGTTTCTTCAGACATTCATTATAGTACTCAAATGAAACTATTTTCAAAATCACTTCGAATTCAATGCTTCGAAGATATCAATAATTAAACAAAAAACTCGAAACCACTCATTTAGACTGATACTGTAGTTCTAGCGTTAAAATCTACGCATCAGACATATTCTAAGACAAGGGTTCCATTCAATTTTCATCGGATACATTTCGAAGACTGGCTCCGACTCAAAGGAGTCCGCCATTTTCCAATTTTTCCGAGCACAGTCCCGTTCGATGCGACGAACGAGGCTCGTGCACCTGTCGCAGCAGGATTCCCGTAACACTCGGAGCCCGACGGTTGCCAAAAGCGTTTCGCGATCGATGCGGCTCCCCTGTTCCTCGTCGCGTCGCGTCGCGTCGCGTGCGCCGATCTTCATCGAAGGAGGATCGATAGGCGTCACGAGAGCCGTGGGCCGCCCGTAAAAAGAGGGGAAAACCGGCGAGATTCTCGAATGCCGTGCACGCCGATAACGGTTTCGGCGTTGCCACGGTCAAACGATTGGGAATCTCGCCGGTTCGCGTTTAGATTTTCATTTAGATCCGAGCGATCGCCGGCGATTACGGTTTACCGTTACCGGCGTGGCGCGCGAGCGGCCCGACGTGGCGTGGCTGAACCTCTGCCGGACGGTGGCGCGCGAAAAAGAATACGAAATCGGTTCGGCCACGGTTCCTCGGACGACTCGCGTTCCTGCGCATCGCCGGAGATTTATTCTACCGTTACCGATCCACCGATCCGCTTATCGATCGCGGTCTTGGGAGCTGATCATAGGTCTACTGATCCGTTGATTCGAAAGGAAGATCGGCATTCTAGAACATAAAATGGAGAGAATTCGATTTGGAAAGATGGCTGACGTGTTGGAATATTTACTGCGCACGCTGAAAAGTTAAGAGTCGTAAGCTAGTGTTAAAATTAGGCAATTTGATTTTTAAGAGAGCAATTTGAAAATTTGAAATGTTATATATTTCGCAGTATTTACGCACGTAAACGAAATAGCAAGAATGTTGTAATAAATATTGTAAAGATATTATATCGTCCGCAGAGGGTTAATATTTCAATTAAATTGTACTTTATATGATCTGTGTATTCATTGAACTAGAAGCTTCAGATTTTAGTAGCTTTGAATAGTTTAGCTACCAGAGCCAAAATGGTGGCTACACTAAGATGGTAGCTATCAGCTCTAGGGTCTAACTTTGATCCTACTTCCTTTTAACCCTTTGCGGACGAAGATTCTTCGAAACATACAAAACCTTCAATATATGAAGCTAAATTATGTATCTCTTGCTGTTCGACTAATTAGATCATTTGTTCGCGACTCAGTCTTCAAAATTCGAACATTTCATCTCTCCGAAATGCTGACATCCGTTCGCAAAGGGTCAAATGACCTTTCTATGAAAGGTCCCTTAAGTTTCTCGGATAAATAGCTTCCACCGAGCTAGACGAAGCAACTTGTTCTTTAAACATTCTTGCTCTTCGTCTAATTAGATCACTTGTCCTTCAAAATTTGAACATTTCATCTCACTGAAATCCCTTCGCAAAGGGTCAAAGAATCTTTCTATGAACTACCCCTTAGGTTTCTCGGACAAATAAGTTGTACCGAGCTAGTCGAAGCAACTTTCTTGTCGTTTAAACGCCAGAATCGGTGCATCGCCGCGCCTGAGCATCGAATGCACCGGAGACCTCGCCGAATCCTCCCCCGGACCGTGCCAAGTCCACGGCGATGACATAAGCCGCGGCCGAGCCAAGGATGTAAACACGCGCGGCGATTTTCGGTATTTCGTAAGGCGGCTAACAAGTTGAACCTTGAGGTATAATCGCCGCGCGCTAAACTTAGTCGCGTGTCGATGAGCGTGCCGGCGGAAAATCGGTCCGACGGGGTCCGAAAATAGCTGAGCTCTCCCTGAGCCCCACGAGCCGCCGCTGAACGGCCTGTCCTCTCGCTCTAACGAACGCTCTCTGTGGCCTTTTTTTTCCAGATCCGGGCGAAAGTGAGCCGCGGCCCGATCGAGAATGGACCCGCGAACTGCTCGACCTACGAGAGTGAACAGGTGAGTACCGTTTTCGACCTCTTTCCTCTGTCGTCTCGCGCTTAACCGTTCGAGCGCCAGAGATTTTTCAGAAATACGCTCGAAAAATACGCGATCGCGCCTCTCTCGTGTTCGGAGACCGCACGGCGCTAATGAAACGTTCATTCGACTGTTGATCCTATTAACATTGCGTACCGGCTAATTATCAGAGGATTGAACTATGCGGATTTTCAGTGAGATTCACTTTATCGCTATTTATAAAAGAAACTCAGTATTGTATTCTTGTGTGATATATTTGAAATGGACAATTAGTTCTAATGAAATTTAATATTTCTTTGAATGCTGCAATTAGCAGAGTTATGTAGCAGATTTTTGGTCTATCGTTTAATTGCTAATTCTACGTTAATGTAACATTTTAGATATATATAACAGAAATCCAAAGTAAAATTTACGAAGTCAAATTCCTTGTTCTCTTCCGTGAGTTAGAAATTTTGGTTCGATCGATGTTTAAAAGTGTATCAACGTAATCACCGACGTTTTTAGCAGCTGATATTTAGCCGGCGTTCGATGTGTTAAATACAAATGATGCACGAGACACTGGAAAGAAGCATTTTATTTGAATATTTTATATCTAATTGACCGTTCGAGTTCCACCGGCTTTCTATTTTTACAGAAACAAATTTTAAACTGCGCGATCGTTACATTTGTCTAGTTCTATGCGGGTAATAATAAAAATAAGAATGAATGATTAGGAAACTTAGGGTGAATTCTTTAGATAATCTCATATACGCGGTATCTTCGAACAATTCGGAGTCAGTGCTTCGTCAAATAGTCTTCAAGTTCGATGATGATCTTCCGTCTGACTATTTTGATAAGCTACAACCTTGATTTTCCGAGTGTCAATGCATTCTCGGCTGGAATCAGAAAGAAACGATAATTTCTCTTGAAACGATCCTTAAAACACGTAAAAGCGAACAGCAGTGTTCGCTGCGCACGTGTCATTTTAGATAATTACTCGAAGAAACTCGAAGGCGTCGCGATAAAAACATTCGTAAGAGTTTGATTTTATAGTTCCTTGCCAGAAGACATAAATACTCTATCTACTTAGACGGTTTTTGCCGAACCGAACCTCGAGGAAAGTGTTAATGTCGCTTTTCGATCGCGTTCCACTTTCTCCGCGACGCTCTAGACTTAAAAGCGTTCGACTTCCTCCGTCGTAAAAACGACCCTCGTCGGTTGGCCTGGTTTGACCCTTGTATTAGCTGCGTTCACTCCCCTCGAACTTGAATATCACAACAGTCTTACAAAAACACCTCATCGTTTCTCTGCAAACGATAGAAGTCTTCGAAAAGTAGAACAGAATTCTCTGAAATTTTAACGAAGAACGCAGACAATTAGATAAAAAGAGACTTAGAAAATTGTATGTGCCCGAACGTCAAATTATCGGAATTCGGGATAATTTATTCAGGATTGCTAGACAACGTTAGATTCACAAGTTTTTATTCAATAGTTGAACTGGCAAATAATACAGTATGTCACGACGAAAAATGTGGCTCAGTTTAATCGTTTTTCCTCGATTGAATTTTGTACATTTCCTATAATCAGTTTTGTAATCGTTATTGAAAAAGTCGAAAAGTCAATTCAGAATATACGACCAAACTTGGAAAATAATTTTAAGTTAAAAATTCGAAAGCTGTCTTTTGACACCTTCGGTAGAAATAGTGTTAAATATGTTAACCCCTTGCCTTATAATATTGTGTTAGACTTGTCAAGATTTCAAATAGAATTTAACAAATATCACTTAATTCTTCCAAGTTCGAATTGAATATCATTTTCTTATTATCAATCGCGGCGTTTCTAAGTAAACGTAGGTATAGAATAAATGTATAATTTTCCTCTTTTTACACTAAATTTTCACCAACGAAATATCTCTGTTAACCAGTTAAGCGTGGAATTTAGTTCGAAAGATCTCATGCGCGCAATAAAATCAAATAATGAAGTCTATACTCGTTAAATGCACTTAAAATATATCCCAGCCAAAAAACTAAAGCGAAACAAAGAATAATTACATGTTTCTCTCAAGAAACAAATAATCATTGAAAAAGTTAGCACCATTAAGAGTTCTAAGATGACGTATACTCGTCAAACACAGTTAACTGGTTAACTAAGAAAGAAATCATAGGGCAAGGGGCTAACATATAAAAATCCATAGGCCAATTAAATCTTCGCTTCCCGTTTATCGGTGGTTTCCGGTTTGAGCATAGATTGTTTATCGCGAGAACGTATAATCTACGAGTCGTAACAGGTACGAAGGGTTGAATGCCGGGAGCATTGATGGCACCGAGCGTCATCAAGGAAGTTCGTAACCCAGTTAGCCGAGGGTTCCCCCTACTTTCACCGGCCGCGAAGTCGACTTTGGTCTCATTCATCTCGAGCCGAACGCGACCCGGTCAAAGTACCGTTCGGAATGGCTCCTCTGCGTGGCCATCGGGCACACGTCCTCGCGCTCCTGCCGCTCCTGCCGCTCCTGCCGGTGGGTACATAATTTTCGACGCTCCGTGACCAGGCCACCACTTTCACTGGTCCGTATCTCGAGCGTGTCCTGAGCGCACCTGACCCAATTGACCGACTTGAAGATATCCGCGCTCCGGTCCGCTGGATCAAGGTCAGGCCCATCCTATCCGCTCGCCACTTAGCTACCACACCTAAGGTCTCGATTGGGGTCTGGGTTTGCTAGGCGGATCAAGGTCACACTCTTATACGTCCGGCATTGTGATCTTTCAACCCTTTGCGGACGAAGATGCTTCGAAATGTACAAGTCTTCGACGAACGAAGTTGAACGAAATATCAATTACTTAATTAACAGGTTCACCATTTATTGTACACTTCTATTATTCCTAAATTGATGCTTATTTAGATTGTGGAAACTGGAGATAGGCAATCGGGGTACATGTCAGTGTGATCGCATCTATCAAAATTGTAAAACATTTACAAAATAATATTTATAATATCCAATTTGCACTCCGAAGTTTCTCACTAGAAATATTTAAGATATTTTGATAAGATAAAAGGAAGTCACAAGTACATTGAGGAACAAAGCTATTTCTTTCAATATTTCATGTATCGAGGCATTGTACGAAGTTCAACATTAAATATTAGATTTTATAGCTTTACTGCGTCAAATCAAGTCACTCTCAGTCATTTGATTTGACGAAGTAAAATTAAAAAATTTAATATTTAATATTGAACTATGTATAATGCATCCATGCGCGAAATATTGGGACAAAAAAGCTTTGTTTCTCAATTTACCTGTAATTTCTCTTTGAATTCATTAAAAAAAACCATCGTCTTTGTCTAGTTAGACAATGTTAAGTATTGCTAATGAAATACTTCCGAGTGCAAAGTGCTGGCAATTTTCACTGAGATCAACTTATGCTATACATAGAAAAACTCAGACATCATATTATGTAATATATTTTAAATAGATAATCAATTCGAATCAAATTTTATATTTAATAATATAAAAAAGAGATTTCTCGTTACCGATACGCAATCTTAACTACACGCTTGTAGCTTTCACAAAGAAAAGATAAACAATCAGTTTAAGTATTACTAGTTCCAGTGTTAATGTGCCCATCGTCTTAGGCAGTTCTAGTCGACTCGACCTTAGTACGGAGACGCAGCGCGAAGATTCCAAGGCACCTCTTCGAAAGTTCGAGTTACTATGGATACCAGAAGATGAAACAATAATTCGCGTAACGCGACGCCCACGGTTTCCACAGACGCAAATAGAATCGTAATCAAAGTTGCTACAGCTGAATATACTTCATCCGTTCCTGAATAGACCGGCCGTTCGGAAAGGTTGCTATGAAAAATGCAGAGTTCCGATGATAGCCAATGGCTAACTGACGGAACGAGGGGGAAAAGACGAACCAGGAAGTGCTCCGCCGGCGTATAAACTCGAAACGACGGCGTAATGGCCGGCTATGGACGTTCAATGCCCCGTTTTGCTATAGAGCCGCGGTAACTAAACTGCGGCTCTCTTAGATCCTCGCTGTGCTCCTCGTGCGCTTGCATAAATATTCTTTTTACAAACTTGCTGCGCGGTGCGTACGTGTATGCAATATTTCAGCCGGCCTGTCGGCCACATTGTGCGCACGAAGATTTCGCGTCTACTTAGCGTACGGAACCGTTCGCCGCTACAGAATCCGCGTGCCAGTGTTCGCCAGTGAAATTTCAAACCGCGGTGGACACCGCGTAACTGCTCGTTTGCGTAGAAAGTTAGCGTACTTTACAACTATAGATACCATCTATAGTTCATTCGATCGATCTCAGTTGAATCCGCGAGGCTCTATCTATCAGCTTCGACACTGCTAGAGCCACCAGATCGCATAGAATCACTTATTCCCAACTTTCACAAATATCCGATAGAAATGCTGTAAGAAGTTACTAAAAAAGCGTAGTAATACTCAAACTGGTGTAACATTTTCAATGAGTCTCTTATAATGCAGAAATTGAACGAAGTCAATTCACAGCCAGTTCCAACGTGGAACATCAACGTTCCGCAATTTGAAATTTCACGATGCCTCGAGGACCTTCGTCTCCTTATCGCTCTACAGGGTGCTCCAGAAAAGAAAGTTGGTTGCATCGCGACTATCTCGCTTTCCTCCGTATCAGTCGCTAATCGTCGCGCGAGATAACGGCCGATGCCGTCGATAGCGGGCCGCTGTGACATTGACGTTATCGCGGCGGTGCGCGATTTCGAGGAAATTCGTCTGCGAGCGCGTATTCCGCCTCGAGCCGGAAGCGGAAGCGTTCCGGGGCCGACGGTTCGCGGTAATTGTCCGTTCCGATGATCGAGGCGGAATCCGTCGGCGACGTCGAACGCACGTTTCGTCGCCGATCTCTTCTCAACTCGAGGCCGGGCCGGTTTCGCTGCTTCATTCCGAAGCGGGCTTCGTCTTCGAACGCTGGGATCCGTGCTGATTTGCATGGAGACGAGGGTAGCCTCGAGAGATTCG